GGCCCCTTACACACCATGCCCCGCCCAATAATACCTGACTGCAGCCGGTGCTGTCCCCGAAGCCGCAGTAAACCACGCCCACTACACACCACGCCCCCAGGCCCCTTACACACCATGCCCCGCCCAATAATACCTGACTGCAGCTGGTGCTGTCCCCTAAGCCGCAGTAAACCACGCCCCCTACACAACACGCCCCCCGGCCCCTTACACACCATGACCCAGGGGCGTGGTTTGTAGCGGCTGTGCCTTGGCTGCGGCTGCAGTCAGATCCTTCTCAGAGGAGGGGAAAGGCCGTGTGACAGTGTCAGAAAGCATAGTCGTAAGAACGGCAAAGGACAGTTTTGATATCCAACCACAGAAGTCAAAAGCAAATAAAGACAAAATTAATTGGTTTACAGCAAAAGTGGACGGGTCCGAAAAAGTCAGAAAATCTGCAACTGCCAATCAGAGCCCGGGCGAAGGTCACATGATCACGAAAGGTTTTTTTTTTTAGTTACATACACACTCATGTGGCTGGCGTCCCGCATCCAGGAAGTGTACAATTAGTAAACATGCAGTAAAGACTCATTTTAAATCTGTTAATAATAGAAATATTGTTAATATAGCAAAAGAATATTAATGTTTTTATTAATTTTATTGTTATTTGGTTATAATTAATTCAAATGTAATTTTGCGATTGAGAACTACTTTTTATCTGGTCTTAGTAGTGGGGCTGAGCCCGTGCACCCTGTATTAACCAGCCGCCACTGGTCTCAGTGCTGTCTCAACAGGTATAAGTTGTGTAAACCATAATGTGAAATCATCAAATCTTGCCTATGCTTGTAAGTGCAGGTTTCAAATCAGTTTTGATACTATTTATGCCAGTAACAAGCAATAGATCAAAATGTGTAAGTGACACACAATGAAAATGAACCAACATTCATTCCAAACCAATTTCCGAACAACCTAGATCAGTAAAAACACAATGTATGATTTCATTTATTGTCCCATCCACTTGTTTATTCAGAGCACAGTGTGGTCAGTCAGCTCAGTCAGATTACAAACTAAACAGCCTTAAAACTGAATCTTATTGTGAAGTGCATTGCAGTGTCTGAGGTGGGTAGGCAGAAGGATAAATACTGGAAAAATTTCTCAAACTAAACCCCTTAATTGTACTTTACTAAAGCAGCTTAACTTTAGAGTAGTACATATAATCACTGCAGTTAGATATTTGGATTTTCCATATATATATATATATATATATATATATGAGATATACAGACATTAAAGTGGTATCAATCTTGTCATCTAACACTCTGCAAGAAAGTGAGTAAGTACACCTCAAAATGCTAAACCACTCCACGATGGATGGAACAAAGATAGTATATATATATATATATAATACAAGTGGGGCAAAGTATAGTTTGTTACAGGAGTTCAGCATTCAAAACTATAAAATTGGACAATAAAAATGTCTCACAAGAAATGGCAAACCACAATGTCTGCTGTCTGGAAACTGGGTATAACCATTTAACTGCCATCATGCTTATCCAAGATCCAGCAATCTCTTCAGTTCACTAGTTGAATGAATTGTTCAGCTTAGAAGCTCTAGGTCAGTCAGCAAATTAATCCTTTTGACAACTCCAGGATAGATTTTTTAAACTTGTGAATTGATGCAGTTCCCTTTTTTAGATTTCGGTGCAGCTGAAAAAACAGAAATGAATAAATACGAGCAAAACTGGCTCACCTTTAAATGCAGGGAACATTGGTGCCATGTTGCTGGTAATTAGAGAGTCTGTCTCTGGACCACTGGCATTCAGATCTATAGGAAAATAAGAGGTGAGAAAACAACAACAAAAAGAAAAAATAGTCACAACGTCATAAATAAGAAGGAGGTAGAGATTGTCAAGTTAAAGTGCAGTGTACATTATGCAAGAGTACAGTTGTGTGTGTGTGTGTGTGTATGTGTTGCAATTTTAAACATGTGGGGGCATGTTTGTGTGCAACTATAAGTTATTGACATATTTCATGATCCAATGTGCTACAGCTGACAGATGAAGTGCTATGATTCAGACTGAGAAGCAAAGAAAAAAAACTTTCTGAGTCTCTCTGTGTTCGCCTTAATGTCGCGCTGGTGTTGGCCTAGAGCCTAGCCACACAAACAGTCTGTTGCTGGGGTGGTGTGGGTCTTAAATCATCCTGTTTGCCCTGACCACCCTCCTCCTCATATAGACGTCTAAAAGGGCGGAGAGTGCTGTGCCAGCAGTATGTTCCACCGACCTCAGTGGCACTGTCCACGACAGCAACACCGCCATGCTGTTCCCGTACCACTGGTGATGTTCCCAGTCAGTGCACTCTCCAACACTATGGTGTAAGAAGTCTTCAGGACCTTCAGAGAGACTCTCAATGTCTTCGGCTGTTCAAGATGATGGAGATGCTGCCTCGTCTTCTTCACCTGACTGTCAATATGTTTGGTCAATGACAGATCCTCAGAAATGTGTACTCCCAGGTACTTGAAGCTGCACACCCTCTCCACAAGACATCCATTATTTCCTCAGTGGAGTGTAATTCCTTTGCTGGCTTATCCTAAAGTCCACAATCAGCTCCTTGGTTGTACTAACGTTCAGCAGCTGGTTGTTAGTCTGACACCACTGTGACAGACTATAAACCTCCTCTGTGTATGTCTGCTCATCATTGTTACTGATGCATCTAACCAAGACGATGTCATCTGCAAATTTCACAATAATGTTAGAGCCGTTCGTAGCCACACAGTCGTGTGTAAAGGGAGAAGAGCAGAGGGCTGAGGACACACCCCTGGGGGCTCCAGTGTTCAGGAGGCAGGGGCTGGAAATGTATCGCCCACCAGGACCACCTCGATTCTCGTGGACACGAAATCCACAATCCAGTCACACAGGGAGGTGCTCAGACCCAGACTGGACAGCACAGCATAATGTTTGGTGGGTACAATAGTACTGAAGGCTGAACATAGATATTAACATATATATGTCATCATATGTTAATAATAGAGGTGGGAGAGGTGTGTTTTCCTCAGTTGGGGGTATGGGGCATTCTTCTCTCTTGCAGCCCTAAAGCATGGGTGCATTTTTACATGAGAAAGGCTCCAAAACTTGTCAACTTGAATTCAGCACCTGGCTGGGGACAGAGAGCTGTGACCTCCTGCACCACACAGACAAATAAAGTCACAAACACACACACACTCACTGGGGGGATGCAGAAGGCCATAGGACAGAGTGGGGTCATCTCTGTAACGCATACACAGCTGGCTGGCGGCTGGTGGGATGCGTATGTCAGCACGAACACACACCTCCAACTCTGGGCTTAGGCGTTGCATTCTGGTCTGAGAGAAAGAATCAGTCAGCGGTAGATAGTGTGGAGTGGGAGTCCTGGCCAGCCCTCTGATTGTTGTGTAAGATCACTTGGCTTGGTTTTGCTTCGTCTGTGTACATGGGTCAGCAAGGGCATTGTTTCTGTTTTCTGAGCGCTCTAAAAATAATTGTAACTTCCTATTACCCTGTCACAGATGAAAAATGGCAGATATTTTGCAATTACATTCTTGGTAACAGTATGAGCTATGTAATTTTGTACCAATTAAATTAAATGTTTGTATAATTTCAGCGATTATTTCTTTAAATAGGGAAAAAAGTGAAAATGAAATGCTTGAGCTTTGTTTTAGAAGAAAATAAAAACTCATTTAAAATCCTGCTGTAACAACAGTGGTAAAATTACAGCCTTGAAACAAACTGTTTCTCAACAGTATGTTCTACATGTGTCTAGATATGATGGGATTTGTTTTTAAAGAAGAAAAGAATATAGTTGTTTATTAAGCACATTTAATGCTATAGCTTGAATATATTTTAGAAAAAACATTTCACATGAGTTCTACAAATTCTTAAGTTACAATAGCTCATAGTTTGGTTTCTGCACTGTCTGAGTCGGAACTGTGAGCTGTAATGTTTTGTTATGCAAGCAAAGTGATGTGACTTCATTGAGAAATCACAACCGATTCTGTTTCTAATAGCAGCTCTGTCTTGTGGATGGTGATAGGTCTTAGAACATGGATAGTAAACCGCAAAGAAACCCTTTATTCTTGATGATGATGAAAGAAATGCTGACTGACTAACTGCATTCAAGCTGCATCCAAACCAATGCGTTTTCATTTTGAAACGCATAACCTCTCCTATGTTTTCACCTAGAATCCACACGATAGCTGCATTTCAGGAACCTAAAACAGAGACTTTTTGGAAAGACTACTGATCATGTTTCAGCTTGAAAACTCCTGATTGAGTTTCCTCAGTCACTGTGTCTTTAACGATCCACACATCTCTATTATTTGACCTATATCCAGGAGAAAACAGAGACATCAGTCTTAACTGTTAATTTAATATGCATAGTGAATCTGATCTGACTTTTCACCATTGCTGTTCTTCCTCTATAGTATTTTATACAACTAAAAACCTGCTCCAGCTTACTCCACATGCCTAATGTAGGCGAATCAATATGTGATGTATGTTTTCAGGTGTGTTAGTATTCACAGAGATTATTTCTTAAATATTCTAAAACATTTCTTTTTGTTTTCAAACAGATGGCAGTGTAGCTATAGTCTTATTTTTTTTTAAGTTAGTTCAACAGGTTAGTCTGAACATGAAATCATGAATTGGACTCCAAAATAACTGAACTGTGAATGACTATTTAATTGAATTTATATGGAGATTTTATTTCAATAACGTTCCTTTTTTGCCCATAACTACTGAATATATATTTCATTCCAGGAAACCTTTTGGAAAATATGTTTTAAAAAATTGTAGAAATGCAGGCCAGCTTGGCAACATGGCCTCATGTTTTTCACTGACTTTGTAGTAGGCAAACTAGATGAAGCTAGCTTTATATAGAGAAATTTGTTTTTGATATGTTGTGAAACTTTCAATGTTGTGAAGTTTTCTATGGGTATATGAGTGGGATTGTTGGATGTTTTGCCATGTCACAGTCACAAACAATCAATCAATGCCATGATTATTTCAAGTAAAAAAAACCCACAAATAATATTTAGACAAAGCTTGAATGGAAACAAATCCACATCCTCACTTGCTCTATCATTCAGGCAGTTCGGTACAACAGTGTAAACTCTCCGAGGAATGCTACACTCTGCCTGAGGTCATAATTTACACTACAGCTCAACCACATTGTGAAAAAGACAAGAACTGTTTTAGGAAAACATGAGCAGAGACGATGAGTAACAGCTGCTTAGAAAAAGGATTCAGATACTAAACAATCTCTTACAATCTGCTGCCAAACCATAACCACAGAAGAAATATAGCAGGGACAAGGCAACTCAACAGGCTGTGTTTAGAGATAAAAGACAGCTCAAACCAGCAGACTCACCAGAGGCTTGATAGTATACGACACCCAGAGGGGCATAAGCCGGTCTTTGCTGTATCCATTGAGGTAGTCAGAGTGGTGCAGCAGACAGAAGCTTGCATCTGACTGGACAACTCGTGGGGTGCCGAATGGATGGTGGAGGCGACGTAAGCTGGCCTTAGCATCTAAAGGAAAGTGTATATTGTCACACAAAAACCACAATGAATGCAAAGACAATAAAATTATACTGACCTGAATTAGGTGTCGTGAGATTTCCATTCATATCCATTTCCTGAAAAGAAATTCAGGCATTGTGTTAATATAATTCGGTTAACTATGTTAAATTATGACTAACCTTCATTGTGCATGAAGCCTGTAAAGTTCCTGTGTTATTGCACTGGTGTCCAGTAACTTTTAAATTTTTACGTTGTCCTCAGTGTGACAGTAGTACGACTACACTTCTTCATTAAAACCTGGCCAACTGTCAAACTCAACACACTGAAAGAAACATTAAATGTAACACAAAAAAAATGTAGCAACCCTACAAGTCTACAGCCACGCTATTGTTTCTCTGAGGCTCGACCTTGGGCATAGACTTGCTTTGTGCAAAATGCTAATGTTAGCATGCTAGCATGCTTACAATGACAAAATCAACACACGTAGAAACAGAATGATTTCAGGAGGTCAAATTGAACCGACCACTCTGCCCTCTGTATACATGGTTGAGCGGGGGGAGCACTTTAAGCTTCTGGGAGTCCACATCCCTGCTGACCTCACCTGGACCACAAACATCACCCATCACATGGGAAAGGCCCAACAGAGACTGCACTTCCTCAGGAAATTAAAACAGGCTCACCTCCCTCAACCCTTGCTGATCAACTTCTATTGCTTGGCCACAGAAAGGCTCGTGGCTGACTGTTGCACAGTGTGATTCAGCAAGTGCACAGCAGAGGACAGCAAGGACCTGCAGAGGATGGTGCAGCGGAGCGTGTGGTCAGGATCATATTTTTGTCTCCTGAATCACCACCTTGCGTGGTCAAGAACGTTGCATGCTCCAATGAACCTGAGAGCGATATCGTCTGGAGCTTAAGCTCCTGGTAGGGTCACCCATGGCGGTAAAGTCGAAGGGGAGGTTCCAGATGAAGAGCGATCCGAAGAAGTCCTACAACGGCAGAGTGGGCAGAAAATGGCAGCGGAGGGGCTCCACAAAGGGCAGCAAAGAGAGGTCACTAATCGTCTTGTTTTTCCATGCCATTGGATTTTGGCCTTCTCTCTGCCAAGTACAGTGTGGTGGCTGCCTGTGCACCAGTCTCCCCACTCTAAATGATTCCATGCACAGGCGTTCTCCTGAACGATCTCCCCATACCCCCCAAAACCCCCCCTCAAGTCCTTTGGCAATCAGGAAATGGTAACAGGAGCAGGACAGTGAAGTATGGGAGCTCTTAGCCATGCACTGGCACATAGGCGGTGGGCATCTGATTCAGTCACTTTGCTCTCCGACTGAGGCAGAGAGACCATGTCAGCACTATCACCCACGTCTGAGCAGTCCTATTAAGGACCCACTCTGCTCACCCCATATGGGAGAAGGAGCTAGAAAAGTGCTCTAAAATAGCCTGCCTCGGGGATATTAAAGATTTTTGCTTCTTAAACATGACTGGAATACCACATCCAGTGAGTTCACTTTATAGTGGTCGAAAACAAAAATCACTATATATTGGAGCCTCCATGCCTCCAGTGATCATCCCGCAAGAAGATCTGCAATAATTTCCAGGGAGCTGAAAAGGCTTAACATCGACATTGCTGCCCTGTCTGAAACCTGCCTGACTGAGGAGGGGCAACTGACGGAGGAGAAAGGTGGATATACCTTTTTCTGGAAGGGAAAAGCAGCTGATGAAGCCAGAATCCACAGAGTGGGATTCGCCATCAAGAATCTGCATCAATAAACCCCTCATGACTCTACACCTGAGGCTCTCAGATGGCCACTGCTGTGAGTGCCTATGCACCAACCTTGGACTCAAAGGATGAAGACAAGGCGGCCTTCTACGCAACTCTGGACCAGATCCTATCAAACATCCCAAAGGAAGATAAGATCATCCTCATCAGGAATTTCAATGCCAGGGTGGGCAAGGATCACAAGCTCTGCAACGGCACTTTAGGCAAAGAGGGTGTTGGGAATGCCAGTGGAGTCCTCCTACTGTCAAAGTGTGCTGAACATGAGCTGGTCATAACAAACACCCTCTTCCACCAAAGAAACAGGTTCACAACCTCCCAACCAAAGCGCTGGCAAGTCATTGATTACATGATTGTCAGGGCCAGTGATGTTGAGGATGTTAACATCACCGGGGTCATGACCCACATGGGCGATTGCTGGATCTGTCCAGCAATCGCCCGTGTGAATCCGCTCCACAATGAACATTCAGCTACAGCAGAAAACGAGGACACAAAGGAAGCAAACCCACCCTAAATTCAACATCAACAGCCTGGGAGACATGAACAGGGTGCAACAATTTCACAACACTGTGCTTGAAAGTAGGGCTGGACCTGAATAGCCGACTTTTCGTTCGCTGTGCTGGAATCAGAATTTTGATCAATTTTGATATCCGACTATCTAGAAAAGGACCTCCACTGTGCCGCAGAAGCAAAAAGGCAGCAGAAGAAGGAGAGCTCCACCACCAAAACAGCTCCCCAAACCCAAACCACGACCACCAGGACAACAATCTACATATGCCACCACTCAAAGAAAGTCTGTGGATCGAGGTTCCGTCTCAACCACCACTTGCTGACCCACAAGTGATCAGACCCACCGACAGGAGGACAACCATACTCGCATCGAGTGATTGCCGATGATGATGCTCCGGAAAGAGACATCGGGCAATTAAATCAAACCCTAACAGACTAAAAATCTGTTTCTTCCCACAGGCTTTTAAATGTTGTTTAACAATGAAAATAAATATCTTTTCTATTCTATTTTATTAGAATTTTGACCAGATGATGGCATTCAATTTAAGGTTAAGGGTCAATTTTCATGATAATCCATCCAACAGTTGTCAATTGGCAGTAAAGGAAAGTCCAGGAGGCATGTGTGTACAAATATTTGTCCATCTAAAAGAGTATTATAGTAAATGACAAATAAAAAATCCTGAATCTTTAATCTTAAATGGTTAGACAAATTTTTAAAAAAAAATCCAAAGTATTAGCAAACATTCCCTAAATGTACGTCCAAAATTTCATAACAATCAAGACTGACTGAAATTTCCTTTGTGACTAAAGCAGTGGACTGAGATTGCCATCCAGAAGGCCAAAACAAATCTGGTTAGCACATACCATTGCCGGGGTTTGGGATTTACAGGTGCACTGCAGGTTGTCCGTGGGGACAGGGCCAGTGGCCTCACACAGGGAGTCATGGGAGAGCTGGGCTGGGTTAACTGGCAGGTGAACGGGATTTTTGAGGAGATGGTTTAGACTGCCGTGGGTCCCATTGTTTGGAGCAGGGCGAATACCAAGGAGATCTAGTGGAAAAACAGACATGATGACATCTCAGATATAACAAAGGACAGTAAATTTATATCACTGTCATTATACACAACAGAGCTTAATAGTAGATCTAAAATTAAAAGAAAGTCTACATTTTTTAACAACCTTTGTTTCATAAATTCTACCAACAGTCTTTTTCAGGGAAGTAAGCATAGAGTAGCAGAGTGACAGATTTAATAATTGTACTGTGTAAATAGTGTTTATCTTGTGGACATGATTTGGTGGTGAACAAAGGGTGGTAAAGTTCAATCAGCACAATATCACAATTTTAAATTCATTCTTTTAAGTCAGTCATTCTTTGAATTTAGACAACATTGAGGTTTAATTATATTTTGATTTCAAAGCATTGAAAATAACCAATAATCACATGAAAGGTTTAGTTTTTCTTTATTTTCTGAAATATGCTTATCGTGACCCCCCAGCCTCAGGCCCAGCGCTTGCCTGTCTCCCTCTTTTTCACCCTCTCTTCTCCCTTCTCTCTCTCTCTCTCTCTCTCTCTCGCTCTCTCTCTCTCTCTCTCTCTCGCTCTCTCGCACTCTCTCCCGCTCTCTCCCGCTCTCTCCCGCTCTCCTCCTTGCTGTCAGGTGTGTCTGCACCTGGGTTCCCAGACCTGCCCCGCCCCGCGCCCTTCAACAACAAAGTTACTTACCACACATGAGGTTATATATTTCAATGTTTTCAAATGGGGGCACAACAGTGTTTTCTTTGAATCCTGGACCATAACCTATGAAAATTGCCTGGAAAAAAGAAATGACACACTGACTTTTATTCACTTGTTTGAAGACTTTTCAAATACAAAAGAGAGTAAACATTGAACCACAGTATCCAAACAGTGTTGCCTAACAGGAAACCTTCACTAAAACACGTTCTCTAAACAATATGTTAAATACTTGGGCCATCCATGTGTAAATATTTAAAATTAATTAAAGCAGTAAAATGCTTTTCACCAGGTGCCAATTCTAGGAAAGACGATAGGGTGGCATTCAGAGATATTTCTAGGTCTGTAAACAGTCTATATTAAGCGCACATTCCTCCTTTTCTTAGGTGTGTGTAGGGGGGCTGACAGTCACTTGTAGAAAAAGTTGACGTTTTTTGAGACTGACTGTTTTCTTTAGAGAAGTTTTTAGTCTTGTAAGCTAATTATACCAAGCCACATACCAGCGTAAACCACGCCCAGAAACATACACAGACATACTGTGATAACTAACAGTGGCAGACAAACACATTTTCAATTGAAATAAACTTTGTCCAAATAGGAGAGTCAGTAGGTAGAAACTTCACACAGGTGTACCTCCTGAACTTCAGCACAGTTTTAGAGCTGCTGAGTATTGTCGTATTACTTTAGATTGTTTCATTTTTTTTCGTATTTGCTTCTACTTCTGCTTGTTCTGTCAACTTTATATTTGCTATTTAATGTGTGCAAATAAAACCAAAAAGAGTAAACTGTACAAAAGAAATCCCTAAATGTAGTGATAAGACAATGTACTAAAATTCTAAAGCATCCAGAAAGTATTAACACTACGGCCTTGATGTATATAATCTTGCATAAGAAATCCTAAAAAAATATTTTGTTTGTGTTTTGGCTGTACTTTTTCCTACTCCAAGCTAAATGTAAACTTTTTTTCAAATGTTTTATCTGTTTCTACCTCAAATAACAAATAACAAATCCTCACAAGTGTAGCGTACGTCACTGCTTACCAACATGGGTATCAAACCATCCTAACAGTAAGATTAGTAGGATCAGAAAAAAAAACCTAATCTGTGTTGTTTCATGAAAGTCGTGTACTTTTCAATATTCTTTTTAGGGTTCAGCTGTCAGAAAAGTTAGAAATCACTTCATTGAATCTGTTGTCAAAAGCGGTGTTACACGTTATCAAACAAACAAACAAACAAACAAAATAACACTTGAAGTCTCTTTAGCTTTGTGGGTGTTTCAGCCAAGCGGCCATGCAAAGTGCCTTGATGGATTTTTGCCTCCTTATAAATTTGACAACAGATAGTTCAGCTAATTAGCAAATGACAGGGGGTAGTTTTGATACAAACATCAGCAAGACCTGCTAGTTCAAACCATGACAACTATGCAACCTGAACTTTAACAGTGAAACTACAATGGCATAGTCAACATGTCAATTAAAATATGATACTGATATCAGTAGATCATGTTTGCAAAGACATTTTCCTAATGTTTTAACAGTCTGAAGTCAAAAGAGCTACTGACAGCAGACACTGTAGATCTAAACTATTTTTTCAGTGTCATTGTAATTTAGAACAATTTTCTGTAAAATATGTAAACAAAAATATTGTGATAAAAGTGTATCATCGCTAACAAGCACACACATCCATCCTTCCTCTGACCTGCATGTTGGTGAAGACGTTATCTGAGCCGTGGAATCCACCAGAGCAATACTTGATTTCCTTACGGTCACTGAGGAGATAAAATAAGAAGATTTCATCTTAAGAAAGAATACAGGAAAACAAGAAACTTGGAGGTCACTAAAACATCGCTCATGTGTTTTCATGTCATTTGAAGGAACAGTTCATCCCAATAACCACTGAAGCATATTACAGGGTAACATTCTGCTTACTGTGTCTGTCAAGCTGAGTGATTTAACTCCCCAGCCTGAAATGATTTGCCATGATTACAGGGAAGGCAAGTGCTACATTAGGACATTTCAGTCTTTCACCAAGTTAAAGGTATTATGAATAGTCTCAGGCAACTGATTTTTAGTTTGTCCTTCTATCAAAGACCTGGTAAAGCTCTGGTAAAAATAAAGTTTGGTACCTTGTTACCATATGATGTTTTTATATGCTAGGACAAACAACATGAGGAAAATATGCAGTCAGCAGGCATTTCAACATTGAAACTGCAGTGCATTGATGACACTGACCCTAATGTTAATACGCAGCAAATCTAAAAAACCAATCTGGTCAACTTGCATGGTGGAACTTTCCATATATTCTTCTTCTTCTGAATCTGTTTACAGATTAAACACATTTGTTTGGATTACTCCAAAACTAGAACGTGCCATTGTATAGTGTAGAGTAGTTTACAGAGTCATAGGCTAGCTGGTGTGCACCCCCAGCACCAAAAAGGCAGGGACTTCATAGATTTGCACACTGCAGATGAAGCAACAGTGTAGTTACAGCTGACTATTTAATTCAGTTTTGTTTTCCATGGAAAAAATCTTTTAAGTGTGGAACTTTGATACACAGAGATGAGTGTTTAAGGGGTAAATCAACAACCTGAGAGAGAGTGGCTCACTCCTTTATGTTAAATTCCTTAATTGGGTAATTATTGAACCTAATATTAACCACCTATGTTGAAACATGGTTACATCATATAAACCAGCTAATGCAGCATAATCCAAGTGTGTCACTTCCCTACATTTCAAAACCCGCATGACCAGCGTCAGTGGTTATTTTTTAACCTTTATTTCACAGTTTACAGTGTCAGCTAAATAAGTGCAAAGGGGCATTTTTTAGCTCTTTGTTTGGCAGCCAAACAAATCGTGCTTTGCTCGCACACCCTTCTAAAACATCTCCAGTGGCAACTAAGTTGGAAACTGTCAATGCAATTTCTATTTGGGGATGGGTAAAGGTTGTAGTAGGCCGGAACTGGGTCAGTTGGACCTCTTGTTGTAGGCACAGACTAAGCAGGCAGCCATGAATTCTCAAATGTCCTTATCCATAGTAGGCCACCAGAATCATTGACAGAGAACATGCAGAGTACGGGAGGTTCCAGGGTGACATGTTAGCTGAAAGGAATGAGCCCACTGGGGGACCTGTAAAAGGACAGAGTCAGGCACAAACGGGGAGTTAGGAGGACCATTACCTAGGTCAGGTTGAAGGGAGTGGGCCTGGCATAACATGGACTGAATTTCCCAGGTGAGTGAGAAAACAAAGCAGGTCTTAGGCAGAATCTACTTAGGTTCCCCAGACGAGTCTGGAACTATCTAGACAGGGCATTGGGTTTGATGTTGCAGGAAGCAGATCAATAGGTGAGGGTAAACCTAAATCCAAAGGGATCAATAAAGTTATATCTAATCTAATCGCCCAAAGAACAGAGCAAAGAAGGCCTGGCGAGAACTGAGCTGTCTCAATGTACTTAAGGTTTTTGTGATGAGTCCATTTGATAATCTGCTAATCTGACCACTCCAGCCAGTCACTCCACTCCTCCAGGGCCAGTTTAACAGCCAATAACTCCTGGTTCCCAATGTCGTAGTTTTGTACTACAGTAGATAGTCTCTGGGAGAAGAAGGCACAGGGATGGAGTTTATTGTCAGTAGGACAGTGTTGAGACAAGACAGCTACTTCCCTGGTAAATGAAGCTTCCACTTCCACAATGAACTATGGGTCAGGATCTGGCTGGACAAGGATTGGGGCACAGGTGAAACGGAACTTGAGTTCTACAAAGGCCTGAGTGGCTTTCGGGGTCTAAAGGAAGGTTTTGGAGGTGGGGGTTAGGGCAGTCAGAGAAACAGCACCCTTGCTGTAGCCTCCATCACAGCGTTTTCTGATTTTGACAGATTGTATAGACAGCTGCTAGGCCTGTATCCCCCAGTTGTGATGAGCCAGTCCTTTAGCTGGCCGAGTGGAACAGGTGACGACGTAGTGGCCCTGTTTCCAACAGTAGAGACAGGAGTTGGTGATTCTGCTGAGATTCTTTTCTTGGGGGGTTAATTGGGCATGGCCTAGCTGCATGGGCTCAGGTTCAGGGTAAGATGATGGAGAGGAGAAACATCACCAGGCGAACTCAGCTACCTTAATCTCATCAGTAAAGGCTTTGCAGGAACTGCAAACCTCTGACTGACTCTCCCAAGCTACAGCGCCCCGTTCTCTAGCTGTACCCTAAACCAGGCTAAACAGACACACTACACAGGCTCAGTCAGAAGAGTAAGCAGAGGAAAGAGGTGCATATCAAAAACTAAGGAAACCTGGGTTAGAAATGCCTGACAGGAACCTAAATCTCCATCGTATCTTCAGGGACAGGCACAAACGGCTATTTTCACAAAGGTGCAGGAACAAAACCAGGGCTGACTACAGGCAGATTGGAATGTGGGGGCAGAGCAAGCTGAACTGGAGCCATGGCTGAAGGAGAGGAAAACTGAAACTAGACAGGAAAAGCAACACTACACAGGAACTGAATATGCAAAGCACTGGCACAGAATGCGTGGAACTGCGCAATGCTACACAGAAACTCAGAATAACTATCTAGCAGAATGCACAAAAGCACAATGGTAAATAACACACAATGCAAGTTTAAACACTAAATGGTGATCAGGTAATAAACAACTAGAAAAGATATCTTACGAAGGTCAACACTACTTGGAACAAAGCCTGCATACAACAGAAACTAAACTACTGAGCTGGCAGGTGGACTAGGGAGAGTGGTCAGAGGAGTTGCGGATGGAGGAGGAGTGAAACATGGCTTGAAGTGATTCTTAGGTAGAGGTGCCAGGTTGCAGATCAGTGGACAGTGGTCTATAATGAACCAGGGTTCAGACAGGCTGAGTGTGTTCTTGCTCCAGCGAGGGGAAATAGGTCCAGGCAGGGACTACACGGATAACTAGATGAAGGAGAAGCAGGTTGACAAGAACATGACAAAACTAGGACAGAGTAACTTAGCCTGATGTGACTAACTGTTGATCTTGAACAGTCTGATGTCAAGTAGTGATCCAAGCCCAGAGCAGGTGAGCCACTCCCCCCTGCAGGAGTCCTCATTCAGCTGATTAACGAATTGTTGTGCAACACACACACACACACACACACACACACACACACACACACACACACACACACACACACACACAAGAAAGGACAAAGGACAGAGAGGGAAAGCTGCCAACTAAGCAGAGGTAGATTCAGTCCATTCCTGTATTTAACAAAATTCCACTTGCATCCCAACTGCAGGTGGACTGACCCACAGTGATGTGCAGGTCTGCTTGACATGTTATGGAGATTTTGTGGGTGTGCACAACAGTTACCCATAACTGGCTTGTCTGTGTAGGTTTGAAAAGATGTCTACACGCACTGTAGCATACTGTAACAATTACAGCTGGTGTGCCATGGTCATTAGATAGTTTGCTTGGCTTCTTCTTATATGATACATACTGCTCTTAAAAGTTAAAAATCAAGATTCAATTTAAAACTCAAATTTTTCAACTGACCAAATACCTAAATAGGATTGGATGTTTTAATTTTGTTGTAAACTATGCCTTTAATAGGCTTAATGTAAATACCTGACATTTCTGCTTAATCGTTATTATTTTCAGCTTCTTTTGTTCATTTTTAACACTGCATTGCTTGATGAACAGTGAAAAATTAAAAGGCGTGGACTTACAGTGCTGCTTGCCAGCCCGGCTTCATGTAAAGGTGACCCCTCTCTATGCGTATGTTGCGAGCAAAGTGCATCCTTTTTGGGAGGTTTTCTTTGAGGTACGGCCTCATTGGCTGGTCAGGGATCCTGCACTTCAGAACAGACACAGACAATAAGAATTAACACACAGCAGATGGAGAATGGGATTGTTTGACATGAAGCCAAGCAAGCAGATAATTTTTCATTCTTCTTATCAATACAAGAGTCACATTTGGAATATTTCACATACCGACAGGTTCTTTACAAGGCCCTCATAATTGACTGAGGACAGAAACACAGAACAAGGTCAGCAATGACAATTTCAAACAAAGTGACACTGAATGATGTTGCAAAACTGGGAAAAAGAGAAGGCAAGTGTTATTCACATGAAAAATAATCCTCTGGGAGTTGAGTTGGTCTAATGCGAGCAGCTGGGCCTTGGATGACAGTAAAGTCAGCAGAATGGTCTTGGTAAGTTGACACAAACACTGCCCTTTCACATGAAGCCTCCTCCATGCCTGTTAAAAGAGTAACATCAAATTGTCTTTCAACACAAAATGACATTTGAGAAAGTCTGTAAACAAAATGTCTCAGTCTCGATAATGGAAGTGATTTGTACCCTTAAATTTACAGTATGTTATTTGTTAATAGTGTTTTGGGTGTGACATGAATACCGATGAATCCGTCACATTTGTTCTTGTCCTTTATGAGTAGCAGCAGGATAATTACTAGCACAGTAATTGCAGTACAGCAGTGCACATGTCCCTCCCACCGAGGGGCATATGCAGCACAAACATGGGTATGTGCATGAACTTAAAACACACAAAAATAGTCAAGCTAAAAGTCACCATTCACTTGTGCAGTTAAGGTCCTCTGTTCATTCTACTGTACAACCACATCCGATGCCCATTTTGGACTTTTTCGCTCTTACTCTCTTATCTAGGTGAACAGCCCTGTGATTGACTGAAGTCTCCAGTTAGGGGCTTGACTGTCTTAAAGCTGACTATGAAGCCAAGATAAAGTGCAATCTAGTTTCTTCTGAAACCACTTGAATGACAATATGCTCAAAGGTTATTATAGGAAAAATACAGCCCACCCTAACTTTCATATATGTAATTACAAGACTAAACATATGGCCACCAGATATCCAAAAAAACTTCTTTACAAAATATCCTCTTGTGTACTACTATGAACATTTTTTTCTAGTAAACTCCATTGCCTTCGACTCATTTCTAATTCATTTTGTCTCTGGCACTGGTTCGTATTGTTCCTTGCAGTAACTCAATCAAGTCAAATATTTGAAGCTGTCACTAAGCCTCGAAAGTCTCCCCCACTGGCACACAAGCGCCCAAGTGCCTTCCTAATGTGAAATTAATTTCAAAATTGCATTTTAAGATGCATCTGTCTTGGTAAATGATTGTACAGCTTATAACAAAAAATGGGAACAAACAAGTACAAACAACACTTGTTCCTTCAAACTGGCAAAAATGTGTTCATTCTGTTTTCAGTAAACTGTTTTGAATTGGTTCTTGTTTTAAAAGAAAAGAAATGTAATGTAACCATCTAAATTTTTATTTTCATTTCAATAAAAATCTGCCCCGTCATGATTTGTAAACTATGTCCCAGCAGTGTGGGGACTGTGTAGTTATCTCACCATGGTCAGATATGATTATTATATTGACACAGTGATGCAGGTCTCTCACTGTCAGGCCATCCATCAGCATGCCCATAATCCTGTCCACATTTTCCAAGGCCTGAATCACCTGAAGGCACAGCAATTCAAACTTTAACTGAGGCAACATATGGCTGTAAAGAAAGTTAACAAACACTGAATTTACCCATGCAAACACCTAATTTACAGCTTGCTTCATAGAATAGATATTTTGCTAATATAATGAGATAAAACAGCTTTGTCAGCACTGACTACAATTTTGACTACAAAATGCAGCTCGACATAACATTTTGATTGGAGGCAAGATGAACTGGATTCAACCAAGAACATACATATATATATATGTACACATACATATATATACTGGTTATAGACAAGCCATTGACAGTAGTCAGTGTAAAGCCAAGTCAAGTGTAATTATTGCAATTCTTGTTGAAAGCTGAAGCACTGTGTTAAAATATTTAATATTTATTATTTAACCTTCCTAAAAGGATTCTTCTAAGTCAAATCTAGTTTTGTTTTAAAAGACTTTTATTTTTGGGCTTTTCCACCTTTAATGATAGTTGACAGTGAAACATGGGGAGGAGAGTAGGGGAATGACATGCAGCAAATAAGCCGCTGGCTGGAATCGACCCGCGGTCACTGCATCGGGGATTATAGCCCCTGTACATGGGTCGCCCGCCCTACCCGCTGAGCTATCCAGGTACCCCAGTTTTGTTTTTTAATTTATATTTTTTAAACATATTTGAAAACATCCCACTGGACCTGGAGAACATTTTAACAGGATATTTATAGAGCAACTGTAGAAATTTCATCATTACTCACTTTTACAATCATGCATTTTGGTTCTCATTATTTCATTACAGGTTTTTTGGAAACATTGAAAAATCTGCTGGGTCAAAAATATACATGTGGCAACATTTACATTTGAAATGTTAAAATTTTGGCCATTGTAACCTCAATTATCTGCCGTTTGCTAGCTGTCCACAAGCTTCTGGCAAGCGTCTGGTTACTTTGACCTCTTGACAGAACTGGTAGGTACAATTTTTCCAACAGCATTTTTGAGCTTTCTGACACAGACTTGTTTCTTCAGCACAGTCTACAGGTTTTTGATGGGGTTTAAGTCAGGACTTTGGGAAGGTCAGACTAAAATCTTAATTCTGGCCTTATTTAGTAATTTCTTTACTTTTGCCAATATATTTTTTGGGCCTTTGCCTTTATTTAGAGTAGTAGAGATAGACAGGAAAGGGGGGAGAAGAATTGGGAGAGACCTGCAGCAAAGGGTCGTGAGCGGGAGATGAACCCATGACCGCTGCGTCAAGGACTATAACCCCTGTTCATGGGTTCCCTGCTCAACTAGGTGAGCTATAGAGGCAACCTTCTTTATCATTTTTGATGTGTGGTTTGGGTAGCATTGTCTTGTTGGCACACGTAACGGCATTCAAGACCCAAGCATCAAGCTGATGATTTTAAGTTTTCCTGACAAACCAATCTTCCTTTTTCATTAGCCCATTTACTTTGTGTAAAGCACTAGTTCCACTGGGACCACTGTGGCTAAATAGCTAAATTTTTGTTTCTTCAGACAACAGAGCTTTGCTCCAGGAGGCTTTTCTTTGTCCATTTGATCAGCAGCAAACTACTGCCAAGCTTTAAAGTGTAATTCATGGAGAACGGGCTTCTTTCCTGTATGGCAGTTTCTCAGCCCATGGAAATGTAAAACATGCTTGACTGTGGAAACGGACAGCTGTGTTCCAGCAGCTTCTAATTCATTGCAGACCTGCTTTTTGGTCATTCTTGGTAGACTCTTGACCATCCTGATCACCTATCCCTGCACTCTATATTTTGGAGATCTTTAAAATGGCACCAAGTTACTTACCTGACTTGTTCAAGTTAGTGACTTTTTCAGATCTGCACTTAGCTCTGCAGGTTTTCCCACTATTGTGTTTGTTGCAGAGTAACAAATTGTTGTATCAAATGGCCTGTATTTAAACTGGCTCAGAGAAGTCAGCAGCTGTAGTCAAACATAATCACTCACAAGAAGGTAAGAGGCCATGCCACCAAGAAAATTGGGCTAGCACAACCTTTTAGATCACCAAAACTGATCATTCAAGTTGTACATTGACACAGCAGATTTCATCACATTTCTAAAAGACCTACAATAAATTTAAGAAATAACCAAATACCATCACTGTTTTGTTGTGGCAAAGACACTGATGCTTGTCACAAAAAACACCTCATGCATGTACTTCCATGATTCACATGGTCTATATAAGTGTATTTAAACTTTTTTTTTTATGAACTGTACACAGGCCAGATTCTGACTTTGCACTGTTGGACTTTCATCACAGTCAAACTGGTTGGAAGCAGTTACATGTTGCATGCCTGACTATAAGAATGAGCAGATTTATCTACTTGCACAAATGGCCTTTGTCTATATTTGGCATCATACAGTACAAAGTCAAAAAAAGTGTGATCTCTGCCTATGACAGCTATTTTGAGAGTTGAACATTCCATTGATTATTGAAATGAATATGTACTTTTCAGATTATAAATTACACAATTATTAAACGCTCTTATTTAGCCATCTGCTTTTAAATCTATGTAGAGATTGTCTTAGGCATGTGCTAACGAACAATAATATCCATAAAGATGCTAATTTTACACTTGTATATAAGTACTTTATCTTAATTGGTGCATAGTCCTCAAACACACATGCAAATAACTGTCATGTGCACCCCAAATTACAAGCACACGGAGAGGGCCAGTAAAGGACTGACAGGGCAAAACTTGACAGAAAAAACAACTGTTAGTTGTAGCCCCAGGCATATGTAACACAGCTCCACAACTACAGGTAATAGCATGTAAACTGAACCATCTCCATGATAGCAAACTCTATCTCGTCCTCTTATTACCTACCTTATTTTTTACATAGTAAATTCTTCTTTTAATTAAATAACCCCCAGCTTTTTCCTGCAGGTTTTATAAATAACTGACCTGGTTACTTCCTGGCCCGTAACGATGGCCTGATGTGTCAGGTTCTTCCAGGTACAAAGTATAAAAGTCAGCTCTAAAATCACAAAAACAGTTAGGCATGATGTTCAGAGTTTCTCAGTAGAACCTCATAACATAATCTTTGTGATGGTAATGAAGAACACATGATACCTTTCTCCTTGAGGTAAACTTAGCCACTCAAATAGCGTTGACACTCTGCTCTCAAATGGAATAGTCCTTGGTACAAAAGAGGCTTCATATAATGAGGACATCAATACACCACCACATTATGCCATACAGTCTCAAATTCACAGGCATGAATTTGAAAGTATGTAAAACAATGGCATCACTCTTACTTATCATATTTCATGTAGAAATTCGGGAAGGTGCCATTGATGGCTACATCTGAGCCTGGCCAGAAGAAAGTAGCAGTTTTCACTTTCTGACGCATAGCAGTGATCCAAACCTGAGGAGAGAAGAAGTAAAGAGAGAAGTGAGGAGAGGGAGCAGAAGAATAGGAAAAGAGTAGAGAGGAAGCAAATGGAGAGAAGAAAAGAAAAGGAAAGGCGAGAGAGGGCGAGACGACACCAGGGAAAGAAATGAGAGGAAAATAAGAGGAGGCAAATGAAGAAGAAAGGTAAGAAGAGGAAATAGAGAGAAATGAAAGAGTTGCAAAGAAAATAAAAGGGAAAGAAACAAAATGAGGCAAAATATGGAGAAAGTAAATGATATGAAAGGCAGGAAAGGAGAAGAAACGAGACAAGAGCAAAGTGACTGTCTAGATTCATGACTAATTCAGACAGGGTGAGCTGTAGTAGGCTAGCACCCAACTCATTAATCTCAGTACATCATAGCAGCAGTGTTTAGTCCATTAGGATAAAAGCGTAATCCCTCACAGTCCAGTCAAGTCTGATTGCAATCTAACATGTTGTTTATTCTAAATCAATACCTATTAGACTGATCTGCAGGTAGATTTGCTTAACCTATGCAGCAGGTTTATAAACATATTTTGGCAGATGCACTTAGTTATATTGGTTTAAAAGTCCTTAGGAAAGAATTTACGCTTGAAAAATACATCACTCGACTGGGGTCATCCATCTCTCAATTGAGAAGTGAGATTTGAGAGGCTTCCCATTTAAATGAAAACCACAAAGCATATAAACAAGCACAGATCACAGCTCTCACAAGCTGTCATTTAGCATGAGCTGAATCCATAAAGACATCAAGAAGCTTCTCACCAATGAAACCTGCTCACTGTCTTGTGCCTTTCACGGGAAACAAATGACTTCATGATCTGGACATGATTCACACTTCTTACACAAGACTCTTGATTGTGGTTTTTCAAAAAATCAGGGTGTGTAAAAATGTTTCCAATAAAGTGAACAATACTGTCAGGCTCAGAGGAATTGTTACAAAATATTTGCTCAGATTGGTCATTTTGTGGCCTTACTCAAGAAAAATGTAATTTCCCTGATGTGGTACAAAACCTAGTTAGGATTTACATTTGACCAAGAACAACATTTACTTAACAAATTTTGCACAATATATCATGGTTGCAATGATTTACTTACTGGTTCTCCTTGGTACCATTTTGCGTTGAATTTCTCATCAGTTTTCAAGCTGAAAAAAGCATTTCGGGTCACATCATACATCTTGTTGTCCACAATCCCGTGAGACTCAGGATAAAGACCCTTTAGGTATGAGAGATGAAGCACAGTCACAGTGAGCCACTTTGATACTGTGGGTGCAGGGATTTCAAGTAATTATCTCTTCTCTCTGATCTTTATAACTTAAATATTACCGGCAACCACAGCAGTTTATTTTAATTGCAGGGTCTGCTGTCAACAAACAGAGGTGGAATTTACGCTGTAAGGTCCTAGCTTTGCTGTGGTTCTTTTCCAAACACATGTATACCATTAGGCCTCAACAGCACAGTACCTTTCAACTGTTGTGAGGAAATACTGAGTGTAATTGCAGGGAAAATCCCAGAAGTTCACTGTTAAACTGTGGTACAGTAACAACACAGCAGCAGTGGAAAGTAGCATGCACTTAACCACTGTGCTTTAGAATCTGAGTCCTACTTGGCTACCTGTGAGAGGAAATTTTTCGACTGTGCAACATCCAATTGATAGCTGAAGTTGTTAATTACTTTCCAGGTTAATATTTTACATTAAAACATAAGCCTAAGAAAGTACAATGTGTTTTTAAAGTTTGAATCAGTTTATCCCAACATTTTAGCCTGTCACCTCTGACAATAAATCTGTGTCTTAATAGAGGCTTCTATCATGCACAAAACATAAAAGAAAATATGATGCAATACTGCAAGAGTCAACATGTCAACTTCTGGAAGAACTTTAGCCCAGCAGTGAAAAGATAGTTACTCACTCTGGCCTCAAAATAAACTATAAATATAAATTAATTAATGTAATAGATTATACGAGAAATGCATATTAGTCAGTTTATATAAGATTTACTATTTTACATTGTTATATTGGTACATTCACACAAGATGTGTACTCCTATTATCGACAAACCAAGTCAGAAAAAATATTTGTTTTTATCCTACAAATGAACTTCTGACCCTCAGCTGACCAGAAAAGACTTACGGTAACAATGCTGTAATGGTTCGGGAAGGTCTTTGTGGGATAAACAGGCCTGATGTATGGTGCTGTTGTTCCGATGTTGCCTGGAACACAGTAATGTTCAGTCACACTATGATGCCTAGCAAACCTTGAAAAGCTGTAGGGTCAACAATGTTGGTGACTTACGCAACTTGTTGATGATAGGCAAGTGGCTCCTGTGATCTTTCAGATATTTTGCTCGGAAACCGTCCAAAGACACCAGAATCAGAGGAGGTCTGGAAAAACTGAACAGGAAAAGACACCTCACAAATATAAGTTCTTGAAGGACGCACTGAGGTGGGTTTGTGACTTGAAAGTGAAATAACTGCTCAGTGGGGGACATAGATATCTTTGGCACCAATGATGTAGCAGAAGTGGTGTACAGTAGTTCTGTGTAGAGGCAACACAAAGCAGCTCTGTGACTGAGCTACCAAGAGGAGAAAGACAGTCAAATCAGTCGTGTGCTAAGAGTTTATAGACTGAATCAAAAAAGGTTGGGGACTTGAAATTAATAAGCTTGGGATACATAGAGATAAGGCGGAATATAGAGCATTTCATTGTGATATACGCAAGTAGACTATAAAATCTACAAACAAAAGGCTGTACAAAAGAATTCATTAATCCACAGATAAGTGGGCTAATTTACTAATTATTTCATGGATGGATATTATACATTGACTAAAAGAAATGGCAACAGAATTTATACGTTATTATATGAATTCTATAATAAGTAAGTAACATTTTTAAAGGATTAAAAATTTTAAAATAAAAGCTAAAAAATGCTACATTTGATTAATAAATTAATAATATAATTTCAAAATAAAAATCAATTTCACAATGCAGCCTTCAAAAAAAGGGGGGAAAAAAATACACATTTTAATAGATTAGCAATACGCTTTCTATTCTATTTTTACTTTTTCCTAAGATTCAAGGAACACCTTAGTCCTGCATATTTAAGAAATTAACATGTAAAAAATGTTTGCATTCAGCATTTTCCAAATAAGTGTAAAAACCAAACCACACATAAAAACAAAGATGCGGTTCACCAACAGAAACAACAGAAACAAACCCAATAGACTGAGTGAATTTGAGATAAAACAAATCCAGGAAACATTCGTGAATTTAATGATACTTTTAAAGCAAAAATAGTTTCATTTGGAGCCAAAGATTTTGTTTTCATAGTCTGATGAGTCTGTCTGGGGTTACTCCCTTACCAAGGCAGAGTCACACATGTGACCATGCTTTTGTGTAACCACCCACACACACACAACTCACAAACACATGTCTAATTACTTCGAGACTCATTAGACTAGTCTACATAGGAAAAAATGACACCACAGGAAAAAACAAGTCATGTTTTTAGGTTGTTACATACCTTTAAAAAAACAAAGATAAACAAAAAACAACAAACTATGAGACAGTGACAGGAAATCGCTTCATTCTCAGCTGTAAAACATGTGGAAACATACCGCTTGAAGATAAGAAGAGAAGCTATACTAGGTCAGCTAAGATTTGAGATATTATTTTCAGTTAAAAACTGACACATTCTAACATTACAGCAGTAAAAAAAAAAAAGAGAGAGAGAGCGAGAGAGAATTTCATTACCCAGGTGGACATTGTGGCTGTTCAGTTTCCTCAGAGGTCTTCTGCAGCCAGAGCATCCCATCTGCTTAAGAAGAAGAGTGTAATAAGTACGGGAAAAAAACAGGCCTGTTTCTTGTTCATACAAATATTTTCAGGGCTTAAGTGTCTCTCACACACCATTTATATATCAATAAACACCAAAATAGCTTACAGGCAAACCAAGTAGACTTATTTTGAAAAAAATACAAAATATTTATATAATGTTTATTATTTAGGAATGATTCATTTAAACATTTAGAGGTATTGTTAATTAAGAGTTTAACACTCAAAAAGGCACCATAAAGCCTGTGATTATTTAGTTTAATAAAAATTTCCCTGACAGTTCTGGCAGCTAAAGCAAAGAATCTAGCAACTGTATCATTTAATGGGATTGTTGAGTCATTTGCCTGCCATCTACAAGGATGTGAAAGTGCGCAAATGAACAGTGACGCTACATTGTCATCCACATTCACAAGAAAAATAGAGAAGCAAAGTTTTTACACAGTTTTTTGGAGAGAGAAAAGAGCAAAGCTTTGTGGAAGTGACTAGGAGCACAAACAGACTCCATGAACAAACCAAAAAAAAGAAGAAGAAAAAAAGAAAAAAGCTCAGCCATCACATTTTTAGGCCAGATTTTGTGCTTGCCAGCATTTGTTCTCCTACAAGAGAAAGCACCTGGACATTGTTTTTGTGGAAACAAAACAGGAGGGGAAAAAAATTACTAAAGTAATGTGTGTAAGTAGGTAATACTATTTAAGAAGTCAGTACTAGATATCTATGTCTTTTCACATACATACACATGAAACAAGGGACATCCCTTCCTTAGACTCAGACTTCAATTCACTTCATCTGAGACAGTGTAAGTGGAATTTAAGGGACTGCAACCTCCCAGCAACTAGAGATGTTTTAAACCTGCAGTCATTGAGTTTTTGGCCACAAGGGAGCAATGCAACTAGCTGTAAACACAACACTGACAGATTCCATGGAATTGTGAAATCATTAGTAGCCTGTTTATTCTCCAAACAATAAAAGAGCGACATGGGTGACCAGACAGCCAAGTGGTTACACCCATCATTTACCTCTTTTTTGGCCCTTACCAACTCCTGAAGGGAACATCTAGGTCTTTGCTGCTAAATACTCACTGATATCAAAATATCAGAACTGAGAGTGAACCAAAGCATTAAACTGGTGAGTGGAATGACTGCAGAGTCGTGTGATAATTCTCTGTTTTTTGGGGAGAAAAACAAACAAACAACAAAAAAACTGAATACAGGATGTAAACAAGGGGGACTTAATTTTGGTGGACTAAAATTTTGACCTCCTCCTTCACTTTCGAAGCAAATGCTGTCAAGTCTGCTGCTGACAGGACATATGACATAGGGAATCATGCTGGCGAGAAAGCTCTTCCTCACTGCCTCTTGGGACCAACATTGTGGTTTGGACAGAACATGCGAATGTTCTGTGGCCTGTAATCCACCAGAAAACCTGCTCTCAGCATTTTGCATTAGACACTGTAAGCCACTACGAAGAAGTTGAGTTCTGAGTTATTTGTAATTCCTTTAATCTGTTTCCAAAGGCTCTACCAAGAAAGTAGCACTATGAAAGATGTAGAAAAGGCACAGATGTGAATGACTCCTAAATAACAGTCTGGGTGAGTGAAAAGTCAGAATGTATTCTTTCCATATGGCTTTCATCTTAGTTGGGTAGGAAATATAAGTTCAAAAGGGAAATGTTACCGCACAGAGAGCACCCCACCCAAGCTAAGGGCAGCTGCCAGTCACCACCGCTGCCCTCAAAATGGAAGAGGGGGGTTTTACCATGGCAGTTTGAAACAAGGAGCATACTGACTCTGCTGCCCACGTCTAACCAGAGAGAATCTACAGCTGCAGAAAACATTTCCCTTCTCACTATAAAGTGTGTTTACGACATGCGTTGCAAACTTTGGCAAAATGCCAGTTTGCACCAAACTGACAAACTTATTCTGTGAGCAAATCGTATGGAGTCTCAGATGTTAACATTCACTTCTGGTTTTCTTCTTCTCTGGCTGGTTGGAAAAGTAGGGCCTCCCTCACTGCTCCTCTAAATACTTCCAGTTTCAAGTTTCTGAAGGATCTGCAGTGGAATGTTAGCAGGCTCTATGCTTTCGGGTAAGCCAAACAGCACGTTTGTATCCTTGCAATAGAGGTATGCAGCTGTGATTGTTATTTTGCCTACTGACAACCTTACCAAACAAGTCACTGAATAAATAAAGTTAATCTGTCTCACATTGTTGCAGGCAAAGCACTTTATTCACTGACGACTGAGTGAAAACTATGACTTAAAAAAAGATCAGCCATATAAAGTAATAATGTGCTACTACTTATACTGTTAGTAAAAGCAAAAGCAAACATGTTGACACCTGCATATGGAATGGTAACATTGAGAGAATTACTAGGTTCTCCAAAAAAAGAAAATAATTGGCAATTAAATCTATCTGTATGTGAAGCACTGGGGTTTCTTTCCCTATTTTTCACAATTCCAACACCAGCACTTGACAGCACCTATACGTATCCATTTCTAGGTGATCATTCATGAAAAAAGCTGATAGGATGATCTTTTCTGTACATTAAACTAAAATTAACATCCCTGAGGATCCACAACTAATGTTAGAGTCAATGTTAAAGTGACTTTAAGCACATGCACAGAGTGGTTTGGTAAGAAACAGTGATGTAAACATTACTTTGTCTACAAAGTCCTCCACAGGTACTAGTATTTTTTCGTGGCAGAGAGGTGACAGTGAATGAAGGAATGATCTACACTGACAGCCTCAAACTCGATGAAATAGATAGCACCCTAATTCCCTTGGCCACCAACGAACAGTGATACAGTATGGATACTTACTAAGTTTATTGGTTGCCTGACTATTACAATCCTGATATGCTTTGAACAAGCGCTGATCCTTCTTCAACTAGCCCATGTGGTGATAGGTACATACAAGGTGTGGAAAGCCAGAAAAAAAAAAAACATGCCACAAAAAGAGTAGTGCTTTAAAATGACGACAATGAAATGCTGGCTAGTTGAATGTAGGTTAATTAAGAGGGAAGATTACCTTTTCCATTATTACTTTTTCTCACTGAGATCACCACAGCCAGGATGACCACCAGTAAGATCAGCAGCAGAACCTAAAATTCATAGGACAAATATTTGGATGTTCATTAACGTTACTGAAGATAACAGCTCAATAATCACATGTCACTGTCAAACGCGACTGATGATGTTTATTTTAACCTCCAGCCTCTGGTGAGTATAATGTAAAAGAAAGCCCACACACTACAAAACCAACAGTGTTTCTGTCATTCATTTTAAATAACATGTTAATAGCACACCACCACATCGCCTGACAGCCGTTACCAGGAATGTCGTGGTCAGGGGAAAAATGGGATTAGCCAAGGGCGGCAATGGATGGAGGGTCGTTGAAGAGCCTGGAATGAAAGGTTTATTTGTTTGTTGTAAGCTAGGTTCTACAAAATTCTTTACTGTTTTCCTCATTCAGTAATTCATTCATCAGTAATTTCTCAGACTGGGATAAATAAAGTATTTTTCTATTCTATTCTATTCTATTCACTCATTCACATACCAGCGGTGGCACGCCTATCATGCAAGGTGGTCGTCTGCCATTGGGAGCAACTTAGGTTTTAGTGTCTTGCCCAGGCAAACTTTGGAACCGGGGATTCAACTGCCAACCTTGTGATTACTGAACAGCCCGCTCTATCACCTGAGCCATGGCCAGTTTGGTCTAGCTTTAAATCATCACTAAGATGAGCAATAAGGGGAAATACATCCTCTTGGTTGTTTTTATTTTTTAAAGCCAATTACATTTGTTTTGGGCAGTGCTAAGCCCAGCATGCAGCAATGGTGTCCCTGCAAAACAGTAAAAAGGGGAATTGTTTTGGTGGAAGATTTGCAGGCAGGGAGGCAAACATGTCAGGACTACTGCCCCAGTATCAAACCCCCACCTAGCCCTCTCTCCCACTCTCTCCCACTCTCTCCCACTCCTCTCCCTCTCTCTCTCCTGTCATTCTGGTCGTGTGTGCAGAGTGTGAGTGATTACTGCAGGGATTGAAGACAGCTGTGCGGTAATCAGCCCGATCACCCAGACCCAAAAATGCTCGGCTCATTCCTCCACTCTCCACCAGATTGTAGACACGGAACCCTCTGCCGCCTGACCGCCCTGCATCAGCAATAAAAACCCTGCCTTGGGTAACCCCACTGTCAGTTACAACTTCTCTCACTCTGTCCCTGCGGATCATGCGACACCCAAGCCAAGGCGCCACCTTTAGGAAAGCCTGCTTCCACCTCACCTGTTCCTGTCTTCAAAGAGGTTGATGTCACCTCCAATGTTCCTGTCTTCAAGAGGCTTGACGCTGGATTGACACTGTCTCAGAGACTGCAGTCGCTTCCCTTGCATTACTATCAGAGCCTGCAATTGCTTCTCCTGCCTGGCCTTTAGAGGGGCTCAGCTTTTGCCGGCCCTTAACCCGGCCTCCAGAGGAGCTTTGCCTTTGCCACCCTCCAGCTCAGCCCTCAGAGGGGCACTGCCTTTGCCGCCAGACTCCTGCCTGGCCCCCACAGGGGTCCTGTCTCATCTGCTGTCAGATTCCAAAGAGGTTCTGTCTCCTCCATCGCCACCCTCCCGAGGGGTTCACCAGCCTTCTGCTGGGCCCTCCGCTGCCCAACCAGCTTCCGCATTACCCTCCTGAGCGGTCCCTGAGCAGCCTCCAGGCTGCCCTCCAGACTGTGTCTTCCTGTTTTTGGATTCCTTGGTTTTGACCAGCCTCAGGGCCGCCTTCCAAGACTTTGTCTTCCTTTTTCTGAATTCCTTGTGTAGTTTTGGCCAGCTTCAGGGCTGCCCTCCAGACTAGTTCTTCCTATTTTCAAACTCCTCACTTAGTTTTGTCTGTTTTCTGAATTAGATTTGGCTAGCCCCAGCTCCATGCTGGGTTCAAATATCTAGACAGAAGAAAGCTGCATGAAATGCACGGGGAAAAAATGGATGACATATGGTAAATGGTCAGCATTCATATGGTACCTTTAAACCTTAGCTTGGTTTTACAAAGCTCTTTACAATGGGTTTTCATTTATCCATTCACACAATCACACACCAACTGCAACAGAACTGCCACGTAAGGTGCCTGCCTACCAATTTGGGGTTCATTGTCTCGGACACTTCAGCACATGGAGAGCCAGGGATGAACTGCCAGCCTTTTGATTATTGGACAACTTAGGCTACCACCTGATCCATGACCGGCTAGTAAAAAGTTATCACAAGCACTTATTGAGTTGCAGACTTGCGAAGCACACAATATAAGACAGTATAAAATAAAACCAATTTTAAGATCATGGTGATCCAAGAAGCAAAGTCTAATTAAAATATAACCTATGGTTAATTTTTTTTTTGTTACTTTGAGATGATTTAATCTTGTTAGAAATAGGCCTACCAGTAGTTCGTAGTTACATTTTTTGCCCATTCAAACAAGACAGTTTTCTTAAAAAGGTTACTTATTAGCTTTGAATTATGGCATGGGGAGGACGGCTCGGTGACACAGTGGTTAGCGCTGTCACCTCACAGCTAAAAGGGCCTGGATTTGAATTTTGCTGTTTGGACTTTGTATGTTCTCTCTGTGCCGGCTTGGGTATAGAAGGAGAAATACTTAAATTTACATTTAAAAATTACATTCTCTTTAATGAAGTTCTGTTAATTATGATACTTAAAGTAAATCTAATTTAACCACAGTAAAAGTATCACACAGCAATTTTTTGTTGAGGAAGGAGATTTGAAATGTGGTGAGATTCCAAATTTTACAGACTCAAGCACAAATATTATCACTTCTTTAAATATGGTATGAACAGTTAATTAGTGACTGCAGTCAACAGCTGTTGACAACTTCATGTTAATGTGTGAAGTTATTGGTTCAATTATTTGAAAACACTTCTAAAAGATTACAGATATGGATAGAGAGAGGAAGGGGCCACAGAGACTGCTTATAGATGAAGCCCAGAATTTTGAGCCACACCCATGACTGTTACTATCTTTAAAATCCTTTAAGGTAAAAACTGAAAAATAAATAAATATAACTTCAGCATATTTAAATGCTATTGTGGTGACAATTACCTTGACAAAATTTCAGTTTCCAGCTTATTCCCTGCCATTCCAGACTGTCTAATGTCAGATACATGCCTTTGCAACCATACTATAACAAACTATAATAGGCCTCTGGCTCATTGAGAGAAGCCATAAATCACTTCCCCCAGTAAATACAACTCAGTGCATGTTGCACTGTAGTGCACTTTCATGCTTACAGCATTGACTCAAGAGAAGATAATGTTGGTTGTTTGGTTTACCACTTAGGTTCTGTCAACACAGAGACATCTCGATAAATTTTAGATGGCCTGCCATGAATTCTGTATCAAAATTCTTCTCATGGTTAGGGTTAGGGGTAGGTTTTTGAAATCTGTCTCGATAGGGTTAGGACTGCTGCCTGAAAAAACTACGCTGCAAATTGGGCCAATGCGTTGTTTTCAAGGGTACGTAACGGGAAAATATTTAACAACAAGCGCCGATGGAGTTTCACCACCATTGTCGTCGCTCCTAATGCTGCTATTCGCTAGCGTATTCGCTGCTAACTGTTAGCAGCATTTGCTAAGCCACCCCTCCGTCTGACGACCCTTCCCACAATACGCTGTAAAAAACAATAAAAAATAAATCCTGGCTAGGACCCTGCAAAATGTCCGGAGGAGGAGTCCCACTGACTTTCCTTTTCCTAACTTTTTCTCAAAAGCAAACAGAAGGTCAGAGTTTTCATTTAAAATGTTTTTAAAGTGGAATCTATCCCACCTGACTGAGGGTGAAGGCAGGCAGGGGACACCCTCGACAGCAGCTCATTAGACAGGCGTTTCAAAGAATCCTGAATCACTGTAGTTTAGTTTAGAGATAGGGGTGTTCAACTGTGCTGTCATTCCTGCTTATTTTGACTCCTCCACAAACCAAATCAGGCCTGGAGTGGTTATCATGGCCATTTACTTATGGTGGAGTCTGAGAGTTAGTTTGAAACCTGTTGCCACATTTAAACATCAATGGTCCCATAAATGTTTGGATTGTGACACCTTAAATTTTGATATCTTATAACAGTTTAGTTCACATATAAGCTGCTACTGTTAATGGAACTTATCACAACACAAGTTGCATCATTGCAGATTTATTTTAATCTAGTTTTGTCTTTATAACAAAGACTTAAAATAAAGCACAGTAACACACATATACGACACTGGTTGGAGGACTTTTGTACCACAATCACGCACTTGGTGAAATCTTTACATGTTCTGAGACAAATATGACCCTGTGACTCAAAACTTAGCCTCTAATTCCTTCAACCTAAAAACTCATAGCAGCGTGGAGTTAAGGCTCAAAAGCAGAATAGTGGGAGTCATCAACCACAAGCTTCCGTGTGATTCACAAATACAACTTGGAATTCCTAGACTGGTATGAAAATATGCTGCTATGTGTGCATGGTGTCTGGGTATGTGCAATTATTTTCTCAAGCTCTATAGGTGAGGAGACAGAAAACTTGCATGAGCTTCTTGGAAAAGCCATAAGACGTGGTCTTTGTGGGTTCTCAAAGTAAACAGTCTGTCTGGTGGAAAAAATACTCGTCTAAAATTCAAAGTCTAAAACACACTTCACCACTTATTTCAGTTCATCTCAACCCCCATCTCTAAAGAAGACATCAGCTTGAAAACTGTCTTTCTACAGTGATCATTAGTTTGCAAAACTTACCCCATGTTTAAGCAAAAAAGTAGCCCTTTGGACCCAGGATGTTGAAACCATCTTTTTTGCAAGATCTTAAATAACAACGCAGTGCAACCAGTGTCAGTATTACAAGTACTAACAGCTGTATGGTGACTGAGGTATGACAGGTCAGGACATAGCATTGTCTAGACTTTGCCTCGTGTGTATCTTATCCATGCCAAGCGGGTAGTAGCTGCTTCCTGTGTTTTTTAGTTGGGGTTTGCAAAAATCGTTCAAAATATATGAATACTTTCAGATGATTTTCAGTATGTACAGTTTAAATTTTAGTGATGACATCAAGCTTGCTTTCTGCGACTTTCCTTCTGTGACAAATCTTAAATTCTGGGGAAAACTCAGTCAGATTCCAGACCATAAGATACATAATGGTGATAAGTCAAATGTTTTACAAATTTAAATCCAAAGGTAGTTTACTCAAATAACCTTATCGTGCCATTGGTATGTATGATGGAGACTAAAAATCGGACCTTAACAGCATGCCAAGATGTAACTGTCGATTGATCAATTAGTCACACTAAAGAATATTCACCAGCAACTATACATAAACCATGAACCAAAGTATAACCAATGAAATACAACTTTATTTGCTGCCTGTCTTTCCCATGTAATACCCCCAAACATATAGAATATTTGAAAGTGTGAAGTACAGCACAACAAGGTGTCTGGAAGCCCCTCTCCCACTCTCTCCCTTTTTCTAAATGCACCAGACTTTAGGCTGAAACTTTGCACTGGTAGATCAAAACCAGTATGACTGTAGGTCATGTCTACCTGTAGAGATACTTCTGGCCTCTGTGTCTTTGCACTTGAGTGAAAACATTTAGTTTCCACATTCACACTGGCAGCACTGACAGTCTCAGCTGTGTGACAGTTGTGACTAATGACAGTTAGAGTAAACAGTGGAGAAATACAGACTTGAGGCTGTGGTTTTAAAATCCTACTGATGACAGATTATTGTGCCAATTACTTTTATGATTAACTGCTTATTTAGTCTGTAAAAACGAATATATATATATATACACATTAAAACATGACAGTAATCAACAGTTATCAGAATAGCTGGCAATTTTTCTGTTAATCATTTAACTAGTTTTTAATTAATCCAACTAATTTTAGCAACAGTCAGTATAGTCTCATAATTTTTTGACAGTTTAAGGTTACACTTAGGTCATAGTTTAGTACAAAACATAAAAATAGCATTTGGTTGACACCATATATTCAACTAAGATTACCTGAAGAATTTCAAGGGACTAGTTACTTGGATCGTGTAGTAAGACTCAATTTATTTCGGTTAATCGAAACTTTGACACATAAATCACTTCCAATCATTTACTGTAAGAGTGTAAAAGTGGTCTTGAAGTGCTGCTAAGTGTTCAGTTTAAAGACTGAGGAGCCCTCCAGGTTGGACAGGGAGGCGGTTGTGTGAGTTGAAGTGCCTCAGAACGTACCCCAACAATGATTTTACAGTGGGTATTCCTTTTCTTTCCACGGTCGGTGTTCCTCTGGCTCTCCAGCTCTTGTGTCCCAAATAAAGACGCCGCCTGTTCAGCCGATCGCTCCTCTCCTTTGGTGACTTCCATGCTGCTGAGCGCTAAAGCCTCCTGTCACGGTTTTCCAGCAGCGAGTAAATAGCGCTTCCCCGGACAGGAATATATGAGTGAACAGGACATGACCCTCTGCTCTGCTCGAACTTGGCACCGCCTTTTTGACGTCTTGCAGGCGGCAGCGGCAGCAGCATGTGTTGGAGCTGAGAGTGGGCGGCTCGTTCCAGCGACTCAGGCCTCAACTCTGCTATTTTGGTGCTATTTTCCCCTGAAGTCTGTTCAACAGGAAAAATAAACTTCCAAACAACAGAAACTGTCTGTCTGTTTAAGGAAACAAACAAACCCATTCCGGATATTTATGTTTAAACATGCCACAAAAGTACCCATCAACTTCTCATCTGTAAGACAACAACAAACTAACAATCAAACAGTTGTTGACAACAGTAACGTGTACTTGTCATTTGTACTGTAGGATCATAGACTGTGTAGGATGAGCGGTGGCGCCATCGTGTGGCCTTACTGAGGTCCGCTGGATCTCTGCTCCCTGGTTTTCATGGTCTGCCTTGATTACAATCACAATCAATGAGCAGAGTTTCATTTTCTGAAATAGGAATCGATGGTTGTCATTCCAAATAAAAACCACGAAGTTTACTTTTTTTATTTTGATTTGAGTTTCCTGGTGATTCTTAATTTTGCTTTTCATTGTGATGGTGATGACATTGATAAGATGATTATCAGGAATCATAATATTAGGTTGGATACAAAATTCAGTTTAAAATTAGGCAAAAAGGGACCTTTGAAGCAAAGGAATCACTTTACATTATTTCTAAATTCCAGTGGAAAAAGAAGCACCTAGTTGGCCACAAGACAGAATGGGGTGCTACACCTTTGTCTAACAAGAAAGAAAAAAAAAAAGAAAAAAGAAAGAAAAAGAAGTCTTCGTGTGTCTGGGTCTGTTCTTTTCTTTACCTACACTGAACCCCAGGTTGCTCCTGACAGCAGGAAGGTATCTTGCATGCCACTTGTGTGGAACAAAAACATTGTAAAATGCTTTGTAGCACCTAGTTAACATTAAAATGCACTATATGCGTGCAGATTATTTGCTATTTAACAGTAGTTTTCCATTTGCCATTCCCATAAAATTTTGACTCTTAAATAACCAAGTAAACAGCTGTTTTACACACTGACTCCCTTCTCAGCTGCTTCAGCTTCTAAAGTCCCTTCCAGGAGTCACAGGTGTCTAGTTGGCCTTCTTCGCTCGTCTCTTTCTTGCATGGTTTTTGAGGACGGCCTGTTCTGGGCAAATTAGCAAATGTGCCATAATCCTTCCATCTGTGAATGATAGATTTGACTGTACTCCAAGGGCTATTGAGTGACTTAGAAATTTTCTTGTTTCCATCCACTGACTTGTGCTTTTTTAATGACCCTTAAACAGAGTTGCTTGAACTGTTTTTGTTTTTATGGTGTAGTTATAGCCAAGAATAATGATTTACCAGTGACTAGAGTTTCCACATACAGTTGTCTTTATATTACAATCACTTGAGACACATTCAGTGCACTCAGATGATCTTCATTTCACCAATTTTGTCATTTCTTTGACTAATTGGCTGCACCTATGTTGAATTAGGAGAGTCATTTTAAAGGGGGTGAATACTTCTGCAATTACCCATATTACATTTTATGTTTTTAATAAATTGATTCTACTTTTTAGAAATCTGTTTTCGCTTTGACATGAAATATTGTTTTTTTGTTAGTTTTCTTTTTCTTTTTGCAATTCTCTTGTAAAAAAATATGTCAACCGCATTACTTCCTTGCTCACCTTTTTAGAAAAATAACCTGACTAAAACTACTGCAATGTGACTAAACTTACCACTGACCATATCTAACAGAATCTTGTGTGACAGTTTTCTATTTACCCAACCACCTATACTTCCTGTGATATATTTAGAGTACATAGCAGTGTTTGAACTAAAGAACAAAGTACTTACTGAACGACACCCAACTGGTATAAGGAGTTTGCCAGAAGAAGTTTACTTCTTGTTATGTCAGTTACCACATAAATAAAATGAGAATCATTATAATGCACATACAGTGCTAAATAGAGCTTTGCTGCTGAGTTTAATGTGTCATATGTAGCAGTATTGTAGTTTGTTAATCCTCAGGCTAGTTAGAAAAGGTTATATTTTTACAATCCTCCAGAAAGATCCCAGTGGCAGTGGTGTCAGGAACTGTCACAAAATTTGGCTGTGTAAAAGTTTTAGATTCAAGATTCGAGGCCTTCATTGGTCACAGACACAATATAAGGCGCAGTGAAATGTGTTGTGCACCTGTTTCACACCAAAACAATAATAATAATTATAATTATAAGCAGAATAAGAATAAAGAATAAAACACACGAGAAATAAATATATATATGAATATATATATAGAGAGAGAGATAGAAATAAGCAAAAATAAATAAATAAAATTGTGAAACAGTGCAAAAAGGAAATACAATAAATAAAGAAGATAATAAAGTCATATGTATGTATATGTGCATGGTGATTATTGAGTCTGCTGTTTCAGGTTCAGCAGGCGGACAGCCTGAGGGGAGAAGCTCCTCCTCATCCTCTCTCTGTTTGCCTTCAGGCAGCGGTAACGCCACCCTGATGGCAGCTTTCGGCACTTACCCAACATTTTGTTTTATTTTTTGAATAATGTTTTGTTGTATTGCTGATTTTTTTGGTGTATGGATGTGGTGACCATTTTGATCTGACAATCAAAGTTGATTAAAAATGTCCATTTAAAGGTTTATAGTTACAGACATTACTTGAATCTGATTTTCAGTCACCTTGTTGTGATGTGTGTCTTAAATTCATTCTTTAATGTAAAAGTATTTCCTAATAAAACGTTGCCTAGACATAGCTTCAATTTGTAGTCTGCAGTTGCTTTCCAAACAACAGATATTTGCTTTCATGATCCTTAAATCTGAACACATCTATGATTTCAGATGAAATAAGTTGTTATGCAGTATATACATTCGACATGCCATAAAATACAGTACTTACACTTAATGTAGATGCACTGAAGTAGTTATTGAATGAAAGCATCCACAAGATGGTGTTGTTCCAAAACTTTTTTATTTTACAGGGATATTACATTGGAGACATTTTCAGACACCAGCTCAGTGCTATAAAATAATACTGCTCCTGACCCCTGTTAGCTTTAACATATCTGAGTTCAGTGAAGTCCAGGTTTATATGATGTGAAAATAGAAATCACATGTGGCCTGACCTTTGACCTCTGCATTGTCTGACAGGCCGTCCAGAGTTAAATGTTCTCACTGTCTGTTTGGCTTTGTGTCCAAGTGTGTGTGTGTGTGTGTGTGTGGATTACATACTATATATAAGCCTGATTTAGTGTTTTCAGTCTAAGCTATGTGGATGGGGGGTGGGGGATGGGGTGTGGTGTGGTCTATGGGGTCAGTGTGCATGTCAAAGTGTGTTTTCATATCTGCTTGTCGTTACAGTAACTCTGAAAGCGTGTGTGTTTTTCTCAGTGAACTGCATATCTCTCAGCAGTGTCTCCCTACAGCTCTGTTGCTGGGTCAGACATTGCAATGCGACCTTTAACACTGATTTACACATGTGTATCTTAGTGTCCATTTACACTGAGTGTGAGCAAATTCTAAGACTGGCAAAATAATCCCATGTGCCTCTTTTTGGCATGTGGAGCTGAAAATCATTGTTCAAATGTGTTTATTAATAAATTAAAATTCTTGTTTAAATCACTATATTTACAAAAATATTCCACTATGGTGGAATTAAGTTTTAACAATTAAATTAGTTTAGACATATTATTGCTTCCAAGAATCTTTGGAATACATAGAACTATAACAATTACTCCGTTGTGGTTGTGTATGCACCTACCAGTCAAGATGCAGTTTACATCCACGTCTTTTCAGTATTGGCCTTTCACCTTTTGGATCTAAAAAAGTCATTATTTTATTGACTTTTTCCTTTCAGAAATTTGTATGAGTTTTCTTTTTCAAAAATATTGTGAATTCTTGAGTTATGGCCCAAAATATTTTAGTAAGGTCATATTAGAGTCCAAATGAATGTTTGTGCTAAATTTAAAGAAATTCCTTGCACACGTTCAAGAGATATAGCGTTCACAATAATGGGATTAAGAAAAGGATGGATGGAAGACAGTTGTGAGCTCAAAGGTTATCATTTATTCATGGTTTAATCACCTAATCATACCTATTGATGTGTTTACTAAATTTCAGAGAAACAAACTACATATGTATTTTCAGGTCAACACTGACCACTGCATTCAATAAGAAGACAGGTGTGTTTGTGTTACCAAAGTAGATCAAAAACAGAGACCTCAGGCCCAATGGAGAATGAAGGTACAGTCTGACGAAGCTCCTGTGACAACAAATGGATCGCAGACATAGAGAATTTCGTAAAGAAAAAGTAAACTGGTTATTAAAACTAGCCAGCAAAAAAGTTTTGAGTTCACTGTCAGACTATAGATGACCTGTCACTCTTTGAGAGAGATGCTGGACGAATTCTGCCTTTCTCCCTATTGCACTACATAAATTACTAAACAATCTGTTGTATTTTGTAAGGTATTTTTTAAGGTCATAGGAGCCATAATGTAATTCAATGTTAAAAATGTATGTAAAAAACTTTAAAGCTGTACTTCAAGTAACCCCTTGAAGTCTGAACACCCCTGCTCAGGGTCTTTTCCCCTCCAGCCAATGAAAATGTCATATATATATAGTCTATTCTAAATCTGGGGGAAAAAAACTTGGTAGACCATGATATTCAGCAAAAGGACAGCACCCTCATCAAGCAGCAGATGTATCGCATTCCACAGAAGTTGATGCCAGTGTTGAAGAAGTGGCTGTCATGTTAGAGCTGGGTGTCACTGAGCCTTCCACCAGCAAATGGAGCAATCCCATTGTCTTGGTAATTAAGAAGGATGGGAGCATCAGATTTTGCATCGACTTCAGAAAGGTAAATGCACAATCTCAGTTTGATGCTTATCCTCTGCCAAGACTGGATAATCTCACTGAACAGGTAGGCCAAGCAAAGTTCATTACGACGCTTAACTTTTGCAAAGGTTACTGGCAGATGCCATTGTCT